CATAAAAAATTCTTTTTCCCTAGTGATAGTGTATAATTGATGGGTTTTGTCATTTCCATCAAAAGCACTAGCAGTGGGTGACAGAGAAGGTGATGGAGTAAAAGCATCATTCTCTGTTTGTTTGAACTCTGTGTACCTAGACTTTAACGGGACACTTATGGGAGTGTACACTGGTCTAGCTACTGGGTCTGAGGAATTAGCGATTCCTTTCAACCTATGGTCAAGTTCTTTGGCAATCTCTCTGTCTCTATGGGAAACAGATGAGAAATCAGATTTTCTTCCTTCAGAAATCTGATCTTGCCTGGGGGTGAATCTGTAAGATCTAGTGGATCTGGCAGTGTCAAATGATATTTTTACTGATCCGTCAGGGAGCTGTTTGATAGTCTCCAGATCAGTTGTTGTTGACTCGGCACTAGATTCCTTGTCAAAATTCTCATTCTGTACAGTCCATGACTCTGGTAAAGTCACATCTTTCCAAAGTAGCTGCTTTGGGACCTGGATGTTAGTCTGTGCAGAACTAGATTGAATTAACATAGTACTTCCTTTAGGACTTGGGTCAAGGCATTGTACATTTAAATTGGTACGAATACACTTGTAATAAATCCTATAGATAAGTACTAAGGAACTAGTATTTTGTACTAACCTGGTAATATCGCCTGTGAGACGGATACCAAGAGTTAGTGCCATGTGGGTATTAGGACAATGGAGGTCAAGGGTAAAGTCTGGGAAGCAGTTAAAGTAGACTGGACCTCGGTGGAGTCCTGTCTCCATGATTCCCAAGACACTTGGTTCCCAATCAAGAAACCTCGCATCTCTTAGTGCTAGTAAGGCAGCAGCATTCCTGCCTTGGGTAATAAGAGGCTTAATGGCCACTTGGACAAGACCTATGTGGATAAAATTAAATCCTTTGGCCTTGTGAATTTTAAGAGTCTCCTTACTGAGGAGCTCACAAAGCTCATCTTCTTTTCTGAGAGGATGAACTTGTTCAACAGTTTTAACTTGGTGTTCTTCACTAAAGGTTTTTTGAACCCAAGTTGTGCTATAAATATTTTTTTCTTTAACTGGAGGAATATTCCATTTCTTCCAGTCTGTTCTAGTTTCTTCTATTTCTAATTCTTCCTCATTTACTCTATGTGGCATAGAATAATCTGAAGATCTAGATGTACTAGCTCTAGAATTAGATCTGAATAATCTACTCATTTTTAAAATCTAAATTGTTATCAAATTTTAAATTAATATGTAAGTTGGACAACACTAGACATACCCCCTAATCTGGCTTCTCTCAACTTCTCGCCTGCGATCCACTCTTTGCCTCACACGGGACTTACGGTCGGGATAAGTGCGGCTTACGTACTCTTGATAGACTGGACTAAGGTTGGGTACTAGAGTGTTCTACTTACAAATGAATTTAAAAAAAGGGAACAAATAAAGATTTCTAGATGAGTTAGATGACTCAAATGAAATTACAGAGGAATACACCAGGCCGTCAAATGGCTCTGATACCAAATAAAAGACATGCGGAATTTAGAGGAATAAAGAAGAATATGGAACAGATATGAAAACAAAATATTCAATTAAAGAAAATAAACACTTACAACACTAGAACTAATGGTCTAGTGGAAATAAGCGGTGATAGAGGTGCAGCACTTCTTTTGCATCATGAAGAAGGCTTACAAGTAATAGGTATGATTACAAAACTAGAAGGTTTGTAATGATCTCTGAAAAACCAGACTAGAAGGGTCTGAAGTTTTCAAAGCTTGCTTAACAGAGAAGAGGAGGCTGCCTTATATAGGAAAGGGGCTTCCGGACTTCAACTGAGTCTTCAAATTCTTTAAAAGTTTCTTTCATTACTTTCGGCTACTTTTGGCTGGAAAGTAAGATAAGATTCTTTTACTTGGGTAAAAGGACAGGCAGAGTGGACTAGGGGTCCTGACTGTCTGAAGAATCTCTGCTTTCGGTGGAAAGTAGTCAACCTGAAGGGACTAGAGGGCCCTACTTGTCAGAGGCATCTTACTTTCGGTGGAAAAGCAAATCTGTGGGTCCTGCTTCTGTCTGTGAGAATCCTGCTTTTAGGGAAAGGGGATCCTATGCAGACTGGTGATATTATGTTTACACAGAGTGGTCAGCTTTTCTTTCTTTATTGAAGAAAGTAGTGATTGAAGCCACTTTATGTAAATAATAATTCACGGGAGTGCAAGGTCAGGTGTGAGGTCATTAACATCAAAGTCTTCAATTCCTTCAAAAGGATCCTGAGCATATCCTGCTGGGAGTTCTGAGGAGGAACTTTGAGAAGATGATTCACTATCTGAGTCAAGCTGTTCAAGGAGCTTCTGGAGGAGCTTTGCCTTGGACTTCTTCTTGCTAGACTTTTTCAGAGAACCTTTAGATGAAGATTCTTCTGGTTGGACTTGCTTTGTAGGAAGGTTAGCCTGGCTTGAATGAGCGGGCAGTTCCTTCATTGGAGTTGCTGGTGGTAAGGGCCTGGAACTACTACTGGAGTTGGTACCCTTACTGGGAAGTCTCGTCTCACCATTGCGATAGTGTCGCTATGCTGAAACCTGGGCCACCATTTGGCATAGAATTGTCGGGTTAAGTTGAATCCAACAATTTCCCAATGCCATTTGAGTATCCACGGGACTTTGTACCTGCATAAAAATATTAGTAATAAAGGTAATGGGGACTCCTGTTTACTAGGACGGTAAAGGGAGTAAAAGATATTAATCTGATCTTTAAGATCAGCTGGAAAGATTTCATCAATGGGGCCATGTAGATGCCACCACTGTGCAAACCATGCAGGAATATGGCTTCTGAAATCTTTATGGAAATTAAGGAACCAGGAATGGGACAAATCCTCATTCTGGTAGAGTAATATTTTGGACCATGACTCAATGTAGTCATAGTAATTAAACTGTCTATTGTGATAGGGAAGTTCTCTGAGTAAAGAAGGGTGAGAACCCCATTCATCAATAGAAATAATCTTGGTAATATACAGGCTATGATAGATAACCTTAGTTGGGTTTATCTTATCATAAATGGGCTTGGTAAATATGGATTTGGTATAGTAGAGAATATCTTGGTAAAAACTATGGGGTTTTTCCAAGTCTACTGGGATATAGTTCCAACCTGTTGGGAGGTAGGCCTGTACAAGGTCTATTGGATCCTTGTATTTGGAATGGGCTAGTTCAATGGCTAGGACATTCTCAGAATAGGCTTTGACATAGTCAACCTTTGGGCCTAATGGGGCTACAAAGGGTGGTGTGGCCTGATAAGGGTTTGTCATGGCACTAGTGGTCCTGACAGGTTGCTGTTGGGCCATTTGGGTAAAGGTTTTTGGGTTAACAGTGGTTGATATAGCCACTGGTCGGGTAACCAGGGCCGATTGGGTACTAGTTGAGTCCATTCTGGCTATTTCATTGGCCATTATCTGACTCAACTTAAGTTGGGTTTGGGCTACTGGCTTTGTGGGCTGAGTAGTTGGTAATAAAAATCTGTTTGACAAAACTAATGGTAAGTCAGGTTCAGATTTTAGTATTATTTTATCCTTTCCCTTCCCCCTGGAATTTTTGGAGGAGTTTCCGGATGTACTAGGTTTCCTGTCCGCCATGAGGTTCCTGCAAAAATTCTCTGGTGAGGAAATCAGGAATATAGTTATATTCGCCTTTGATATATTCTATATCAAAATCGAAAATACTTAAAATAGATTGCCAACGAGCAAAAATCTGCTTAGCAGCTATATTTTTGACATCTTTGGTTAATACATCCTTGGCTGATTTACAGTCAACCCGCACAAGGAACTTCTGATTCAATATATCATCCTGGAATTTAGAGATACACAGGACAATAGATAAGATCTCTTTTTTAATAGTGGAATAATTCTTTTGGGTTGTATTCCAAATACCAGAATGGAATCGAACAATCTGTTCAGGAGAATTAGGAGATTCTCTCTGAAGGAGGATTCCACCATAACCAATATCGGAGGCATCAGTCTGGATGATTTTGAAAGAATCAACGGACGGAATACCAAGACAGGGAAGAGTTTTGATGAACTTCTTAACCTGCTGAATAATAGAAGTATGGACAGTGGTCCAAGGAGGAGGATTTCCTTTGAGCCTGTCATACAGAGGTTTGATGGTTTGCCTAAGATCCTGATAGAAGTCAGAAACATAGTTTAGGGAACCTAAAAACCTTTGGAGTTGGGTTTTATCCAGAATTTCATCTGGGAATTTATCTGCAAATTGGATGGCTCTACTTATAGGAGTGAAAGTAGAATCCTGGATATTGTATCCTAAAAACCTTACTGAGGTTTGGAATAACTTAATCTTAGATGCAGATAAGACTAATCCATTTTGTTTAACAATTGTATGAAAAGCATAAAGGTGCTTCCAGTGTTCTTCTATTGTTCTGGAGAAGATGAGTATATCATCTATATAGACAATAGAAAAATGACTGATACAATTGAATACTTCATTCATTATGTTCTGGAATTCACTTGGGGCATTTTTCAACCCAAAGGGCATGACATTCCATTCATAATGTCCGAAGGGAGTAGTAAAAACAGTTTTATACCTGTCCATAGGGTGGATCTGTATTTGCCAAAAACCACTTTTTAAATCAAATTTGGAAAAGATAGTGGACTTATTGAGCCTTTTTATCAAATCCATATATATATATATATATTCTTGTATACTTGTTTATATACACGTATATACAAATATATATAGTATACTTGTTTATATACACATATATACAAATATATATATATATACATGTATCTGTACCAATATGGCATCTGTACCAATATGGAAGCTGAACTAAGAGGCCCGATGGATGGTCTTACATTGTTAAAGCAATATGGTCTTCAAGTCTACCCTCTGATAATAGAAACAGACTCTCAGATCTTGGTTGACATGGTCAGTCAGGCTAGCAAGGTTTCTTGGAAATTCTGGACTCTTATTCCTAATCTTTTTTCCCTTATTTCCAATTTTGATTTTCAATTACAGCACACTTATAGGGAAGGCAACTCAGTGGCGGACTCTTTGGCAAACGAAGGAGTGACTGATATGCATACTTCATTCTATTCTTCTACAGATCTCCTCCCAATTTCTACAAAGCTACTCATGCTTCAGGACTCTATGCAACTAAGAGTCCTCATAAAGAAAGTTACTTCCTCTCCTGGGATTTTCTACGATTAAAGTTCAGTATGTGGCTCTCTACAAATTAACAGTATATGGAAAGTTTCAAAAAGAAGCACACAGCAGATATCAAGAGTTGGGTCTCATTCGTTTTATACAGTCCATTTATACATTTGGGATCAAATCAAGATCAAACGAGGAAGAACATGGCTGGCACCTGTTCATCTCTCAGTCGGATCGGTATGCTGGAAATGGTTTATGATGGCTCTTCAGTTGGGTTTTTCTGGTTTTCAACATTCAACAGCCACAATCGCATGCATAGGAATTCAAAACAAGTAACACAGTCCGTTTATACAGTCCATAAATTATTACATGCCCATCCCTGCTGTAATATGAGGGATTTAATTTTCAAAAGCAACGTAAGTCTAGTCGAAATGAATAGGGCAGGCACCTGTTTGATTACTCCTCTTCTGCGGGATATTCTGTATTGGTCTTCTCTGTTCATCTATATCCAGAGTGATCCATCTTCGTTCAAGCAGCTTTTGGTATATTTCTTGATTCTGGGCTTTTGGTATATATCTGTGTGTGTGTGTGTGTATGTGTGTGTGTGTATAAATAAGTATATATATTCGTGTGTATATATATATATATTTGTATATATGTGTATATAAACAAGTATACTATATATATTTGTATATACGTGTATATAAACAAGTATACAAGTATATATATATATATATATATTAATAAATATACATGAATCAAGGTGCATTAAATACGTATTATATGTATTAACAAACACGCATGAATCAATGTACATTAGAGATAAGAGATTTCAAATTAAATAACCCTAAAATAAGTATTTATGTCTTTTTAACTTATATTTTGTTTTATGTACTTTTTGTCAAATAAATCTAATAAGGTGTATCGGCTTCCAAAGAACCAAAAAAACAAAAGACTCATTGGCAATAAGCTTATAATTTAACAATTCAAGCCCAGCCCAATCGATGAGCAGCCCAAAGGTTAAAAGCCTGGTTCAAATGTCAATCTTAGATTACTCATGGGGACCACGTATCCTAAGGGTTAGAGAACCACCCCTAACACCTATGATAGTCGTCAGAGTAGAGAAGGTGGAGCGCATAGTCACCAAAGATCGTGGTAACAAAGGTGTCAAACAAATAGCAGCGCCGAGTAAACAATAGCGACAGTGGCAAAGGGAGCAGTAGGGTGCAGAGGAAAGTACTCACAGGATCAACACCAAGAGAAGAATAACCAAAAACCCTATGAAGATCTTTGTATAAATAGAAAATTGATACCCAACAAGAAGAGATGACCCTCTTACCCCTCCCATAAGCATTTGCAAACCTAGGAGAACCACTAAACGGAGCAAAGTACACACCCCTTGTAAAGGACCTCGCGTCCCCAATTTCTTGTACATCTCCGATCAAGTAATATACAATCTCAGCAAGAGACTTCCTTGATAGTGAATTTAGCCTTAGTTCATCGGCTAAGGTGAACCACTTGCATTTCTTTCTTTCCTATTCATTAAGAATCAACTTACAATTCATTTAATCTATCTAGAACTTCACCATCTCACCTATTGGATTTGGGCTGTAAATTTTGAGCACCATCACATCCAAACATATTTTATAATTTTTTGTTTTGTAGAATTATTTTTAAATTATATAACCAAACAAATTATGCGGTACAAAAATACACTTTTTTAAAAATCTTTTAAAAAAACATGTTTTCAAATACTATTTTCTGAGATGTAATCCAAACACCCTCTTAATTTTTTGTTTTTATGAAAAATTGGTTTTAACATCTAAGCTTTCACAAAGTTTCATAAGCTAGGATGGAGAAACGAGGTATGGGGTTTGAGCCTCGGCTAGTGGGTGGTACTAGCAAGTTAGTGTTACCATGCGATGGTTTTCTTGGGTGGTAGGTGGTTGCAATGGGCTGTGCTGGCGGGAGGGTGGGTGGATGGTGGTGGTGGTGGTGGCTTATGATCGATAGGTCTACCATAGTGGTAGTCCTCCTCCCCTGACAAAAAAAATAATTATGATTCTACTCTTAGAAAAATCCTATTTGAAAAATAAACAATATAAAACTTGGTGCCAATTTGAGAGACTTTTTCTTGAGAAATTGATTATTTTAAGATTAATTTCTTAACTTTAGGGTTTAATTTTTTTAAAAATTATTGGGAAATTAAGCTTGATTTTCAAATCCAACACTCTTGTCGAGTCAATTTTGAACAAAGAATCAAAATTGTACAGTTGAGCTTGACTAGTAACAACAGAGACAGACTTTAACATATTCAAACTTAAGAAACTCGTTTCCATTAATACCTACCAAATAGTTATTACTAACCATCGGATTCGTTGATGAATTTGACCAAACCACACTGAATTCTTTCTCATGGGCTGCCAAATGGTTCAGTTGAAGGGTTGAAGGCCTTGGTCATGTACTCGGCCGAAGACAAAGTCATGTGATCTTTCCATGGCAGTGCAAAGTTTAGAGATTTCTTTTTGTCTTGAAACAATCTTAAACCTAGGTTAAGATAATAACCACAAACTGTTATTTATATATTTTAAATTCGAATCTTGATAATTTTTTAAGATCAAATAATGTGGGATTTATCTTTTATAAATATCTTTGATCAATTCAGGAAAGTTATTAGTCAAGATGAGCTTAAACTAACTTAAACACCCCTGAATATTGAACTAACAAATAAAGAGTAATGCTATTGAGACTTAAAAAATTGATCTAATTTGTTGATCTAATGATGTGACAGTGAAGTGGTTTAATTGTGTTATTTTAGTCAGAGCTTTGGACTTCTTCCATTACTTGACAAATCATTAAGTCAATAAATTATATTAATTTTGTAGGTCTAATTCATAACAACTATTAGATTGGTTGCAGATCGTAACATGTACTGAGATCACTGTTAATCTAATAATTATGATTGATTAGGTCAAAAATTTAAGTCTAAATAACATTGATTAGAATTCACATTAAAAAATAATCGTACTTAAAATTGGAGCTATACATACAAATTCTCCTCAATATTTACAAAAAGCAACGAAATAACGAAATTACAAACTCCTAAGATGTCTTTTTTTTTCAATGATAATGGATGTTTGAATTAGTTTATGTGTATCTTGACTAATTCTTTCTTCAGTCCGATCAAAGATAAGAATATAATTTTTTTTTTTGCTGGGTTAAAAGGGGTGGGGGCAAAGTAGAGCACTCAGAGACCACCCCGATAGATTTTCACTTGTGTGAGCATGATGATCCTAACCGCACTCATTACTTCTCTCGTAAACAAACCTAATTAGATTAACAGTCAACCGCGCAAGCCCCAATGTGAATTCCAAATTTTCAAACCTCTAATTTCAAGATGAAAAATTTAACCCAGTACTCCACTAAATTACCCCATTGAGTGGTGACAGGCATATAATTCTGACAACATCCTCAGGGATTAAATACTCCCTCGTCCATACCAGTTGGGCATAGAATTATTATATTTATGGTTAATATTAATAATTAATCCCCACAACTTGGCCAAGTGGGGATTATCTGTCAAGAGGGATGGAATCTTCAATGAAACAGTGCTCCCACAAGCAGTAAGGGAGGCGGTTCTCAAGGACTCTGAGCTTGCATGGGATCCTGATAGTACTTAGTAGTAGACTGTTTAGTCCTTTCTTGGTTTGTAGTTTTATTTGTTACTTTCTCCTTCTTGTTCCTCGTCTTACACGAGCAAACAAAAAAAAAAAAAAAAAGAATAACGAAACTTGTTACACTTGTGAATTAAAAGTAAACACAAACTCAATTAAACACAATATTAATCAACTAAACATTATTATATTAAAACACGAATTTAAAATGACACAATGGTATGAATTTTTTAAATTTAAACCTGGCCATTGGCCAATAAGCCGCCCAATGAGCTGCTTGGTTGCTCTGTGGACTAACTTGAAGAAAACCACGTGCTGGAAAATATCGGTCCCAACTGCTTTGACATCCGGTTTTAGCTTTGTCGAAATTAGAAAGGATTCATTTCGCTAAAAATCCTTAAAGATTTGTCTCAGATAGTTCAATTGTATCATTTTAATTTCTAAACTATTGAATATATTTCTATGTGGTACATCAAATAAACAGCGTCCAAATTATTAACGATTTTTTATTATAAACTTGTTACTTAATATAAAAATATAGGTAAAAAAATAATTTGAATAACTCTTGATTAAATTTTTACCCAAATTTTAATCAAAGAGTTATCCTAATCACACAGTTTTGATCATGAGCTATCCAAATTTTAGTTAAGAGTTATTCAAATTATTTTTTTTGTCCATATTTAGGTATCACATAAGAAAATTATAATAAAACTGCTAGCAATCTGGATGTTTTTGCTTGATGGATCACGTAAAAATATATTTAATACTTTAAGGACAAAAATGATAAAATTGAAATATTGTGGATCAAAATCAGACAAATTCTATACTTTGAAAACCTCTAATGCAATTAACTCAATTAGAAAATGAACCTAAATTGATCAAATTCTATGTTTGTTTTGCAAGATTTTTACTGAGAAATTAATTATTTTTGAGATTGATTGTTAGATTGTTGGTTTTAATTTTTAAGAATCTTTATTCAGAAATCCAACTCAATTTTCAAATTGCTAGTAACTTTTTTGAGGGTCAATCGTGAACAAGAATTTAAACTAAACAATTTCAGCCCAACTAGTTAAAACTGAGTCGATCACAGTTTTTTTTAAGTTTATTATTGAAAGGGCAACCACTAGAACTTTCTCGATCTTTGACTTCTTTTTGTAAGAATTTTTAATAGATTGTCAAATAATCTCATTCGAGTGGTGCAGATTTTAAGATCAACAAATATAATGAATTAGATTATTAAATTATATTAATAAATTAAATTCAAATAATATTATTTAATTTTTTAAACTGGAATTTTGATTGATTGGCTCAAATTGCTCTACTAGTCGTGATAGGTAAGGGGATTATGTTTGGCTAATCTTATGTTGGTGGGCTACGGTATAG